GCGCATTGAAAAGGTTGCGGTCTATCCTAGCGAATTCGGCAAGGAGCGCATGCAGCGCGAGGAGCTGGAAGGACCCCCTAAGGACATTTTCAAGAAGGATGACTCTGAAGAGGAGAGCGAGGACAGCGAGGAGGAAGACGAGGCGATCAAGAAGGAGCTGTTGGAGGAGGGCGACGCCGACGACTTCGACCACGACGCGCTGCGCAAGTACCAGCTGGATCGGCTGCGGTACTTCTACGCCGTTATGACCGTCTCTGACAAGGCGACAGCGCAGAAGCTCTACGAGGCGACCGACGGCACAGAATACGCGTCTTCATCAAACTTCCTCGACCTGCGATTCGTACCGGACGATACTACATTCGACGACGAGCCTAGAGACGAGTGCGACAAGTTGCCCGAGGGATACAAGCCTGTCGAATTCACTACGGACGCTTTGCAGCACTCCAAGGTCAAGCTCACCTGGGACGTCAACCCCGACGACGCCGCCCGCAAGGCTTCCATCAACCGCGCCTTCACCGGAAGTCGTTCGCAGATTGAGGAGAACGACCTGAAGGCCTACCTGGCCAGCGACAGCGAAGACTCCGGCGAGGAGTTTGCGGGATTCGACGATGAGGAAGAGGCCGAGGATGAGGAGGAAGCGGCCGAGAAGCCCAAGCTTTCCAAGAAGGAGCTCGCCCGTCAGAAGATGCGAGAGGCTCTTGGCCTTGGCGCTGAGGAGGAGAAGAAGTCATCCAAGAACGCCCCCGTCGGCGAGATGGAGATTACATTCACGCCCGCTCTGACGGAGAGCAAGAAGAACAAGAAGCCCGAGGAGGAGGAGACGACGATCGAAAAGTACCAGCGTAAGGAACGCGAGCGCAAGGAGGCCAAGCGTATTGCCGCCCGCGCCAGACGCGAAGGCAAGACCGGCGCCCCCGTCTCCGAGGAGGCCGACGAGGTCGAAGCCGCAGACGACAGCGCGGAGGACCTGGGCTTCGACGACCCCTTCTTCACGACCGACGAGCCGGTCAAGACCAAGACTTCCGTCCGCAAGGAGGAGCGTCTCGCGAAGCGCGCGGCGCGCGAGGCCGAGGAGAAGGAGAAGGCGGAGCACAAGAAGCAGCTGGAGCTCCTGATGGCGGACGACAACGTGGATGGGGCGGAGCACCTGGATCACTTTGACATGAATGAGATTATGAAGGCGGAGAAGGCCAAGAAGAAGAAGGGCAAGGCCGCGAAGCGGTTGGCCAAGAAGGCGGCTGCCGATGGCGAGAAGCTCGGTCTGCAGGAGGACTTCAAGATGGATGTCGGCGACGATCGTTTCAAGGCCGTCTTTGATAGCCACGAGTTCGCTATTGATCCCAGCAACCCCAAGTTCAAGGGCACGGAGGCGATGCAGAAGTTGTTGGAGGAGGGTCGCAAGAAGAGAAAGGCTGGCGGGGACGTGGAGGATGTGCCTGTGGAGAGGGAGGGCAAGAAGGCGAAGAAGGCCAAGAAGGTTGGCGGCGGCGACGATGATGAGGAGTTGAGCAGGCTTGTTGCGTCGGTGAAGAAGAAGGCGGCGAGCAAGGCTGGCAAGAGATGATTGCGGGTCTTTTTTTTGTTCTCGCGCATTGGTGTTTGAGTCGAGGCGTGTTTGTGGTCATACCCTAAAATAGAGGTCATACAAAAGTTATTGCAATGTACAAAGCACATGTCCATGATAATGGGTATTAAGGATTATGCGACAAGGCAGTTGAGTTCTTGATTTTGTGACGCTGATTTATGAGTTGCTTCCTTGGGTATCTCATGCTCGTGGAAAGAACCACCCAATGAATACCCCTTGGAACCGCACTTTCCATTCTTCGAAAATGTTCGGCCTTGGATTGTCTCGCTGATGACTCTGCCCTTATCCTCGTTGGGCACCATGCTTCTGAGTTCGCTGTCCCATTCCGCTGTTCTCTTCATGATATCTTCGTACACTCGTAGCTCAAGAGCCAAAGAAGGCGCGGACGGCAAATTTGACAAGGCGAGGCGTGCCGATTCTTGCAGAGATGAGGAAATTATCAAGTGTGGGTTTTGGGCGAGTTTGTGTGGCAACAGATGTCCCCGTCCGACCTTGGGCATCGCCGTCGTCGTTGGACATGGGAAGGCCGGTGTAGGGATCCCACTCCATGTCTTCTTCGTAGATGGAGCCGAGCATGCTTGCAATCCAGACGAGATTGGCGAGTATGAGGGTGAGAAGGACGCCTCTCAGGGTAGCTTCGTTGTGTGAATAGGTGGGAGGCATAGTCTATTCTGGGTGTGGTTATGGAGGCTGAATCATATCCCGGTGAAAGTCGAATGTTGAGTTTGAAGAGGGGAAGAATTGAGATGCGACCAAGAACGTCAAGGCAGGAGCGGGAAGGAGCCAGAAAAAAGAGAGGTCTCATGATGTAGCCTGTGACGAACACCTCAGTTCTTTATGTAGTCAGCCGGCACATTCTACTGGAAGGGAAGGGCCGGGATCATAGTATTTAGGCAGCGTCACATGGCAAAAGGCGTGGGCGGGCAGGCTGCATAGATGCTGGGAGAACAACATAGGTGCAATAACATAGGTGCATCATGGAATCTTGTTCTATTTTAGATGATTCAGCAGAACATGGCTGCGAGGACTTTTGTTTATCATGACTTGAACAACAATGAAAGAATTTTTACCGCACAACGGCATCCTTCAAGCTGGGAACAGTGCAAAGACCGCCAGACTTGGTCTTGAGCTTGCCAAGACCCTGCTTTCCAAGCGCTTCGACAACACCAGCATCAAAGGCAACGGCCAAGTCGTCGGTGGTAGTGAAGCCGGGCTGGAAGGTCTCCCAGATCTTCTTCTTGGGGTTCAGAACACCCTCGGGTTCACCTTCCCAGCCCTCAAAGTTGATACGCTCACCTGCCTTGGCATCAGCGGGGGGAGTGACGAGCTCGACAGGTCCCTTGTGATCGTCGACCTCGCCTTCCTTAAGCTTGGGAGAAGCGGCAAGAACCATAGCGCACGACTTGATGCCGCGCATCTTGACGGGCTTCAGGTTGCAGACGACGACGACCTTGCGGCCCTGCATAGACTCGAGGGGCACGAGGCCGTTGAGGCCAGAGCAGACGGTGCGGCAAACCTGGCCCTCGTACTCGGTGGTGTCATCGTTGGGCTCGTCACCGACGGCAATGGTGGAGACGTAGAGGGAGTCGGCCTCGGGGTGCTTGATGGCCTTGAGGATGTGGCCGACACGGAGGTCGATGAGGGCAGGGGAGAGAGGGGCGGCAGCAGGAGCAGCCTTCTGGGGCTTGGGAGCCTTGGCCTTCTTCTCCTTCTTGGGCTGGCCCTCACCGGCACCGACAGCGGCCTTGACCTTGTCCTTGGCCTCGGCGACAACCTCCTTGACCTTCTCGCCAGCGCTCTTATCCTTCTTGGGCTCCTTGGTGCGGTCGGGCAGGGCCTTGTCACCAGCAGCAGCGCCACCGGCGGCGGCGGCAGCGGCCTTCTCCTTCTTGAGACGCTCCTTCTCGGCCTTGGCGTCGACGGGGGGCTTCACATAGAGGACCTCGTCGAGGTCAACCTTGACCTTGTCGTCGGCCTTGACATCGGCGGCGAAGGCGGGGAAGTTCTGGACGAAGTCGAGGTGGCGGACGATGTTGGGGTAGCCCTTCTCGCCGGTGCGCTGCTCGGGGGACCAGGAGGCGACGAGGGGACGGACGGCAGAGTAGAGAGCGGTGTCGGCCTTGCTGGGCTTGGTGCCGAGAAGGGTGGTGCGGGTGCTAAGGTGGGAGTTGAGGGTATCGAGGATAGGGGAGGCCTCGTCGGGCTTAGACTGTTGGAGACGAGTGGCAGTGGTGAGCCATTGCTGGATCTCGGTCTCCTCGTTGGGAGTGTAGGTGGTGTTGGAGGCCATTCTTGCGAATCGGAACGGGGAGATGCTGCGTGAGCTGGGTCGGATAGCGCGTAGTGAAGAAAGCATCAGGTGTGAGTCTGAGGTGGAATTTTTACCTGTGTGGCTCTGCGGGGTAGGTGGCAGCAACGGTGTGGTGGGAGGATTGCCCCTCCACGCCGTTCACCTCGATTGAATGCCTCAGGCTTTAGCTCTCGGTAACCGGTGAGGACTGACCGAGACGACTGTTCGGTGTGCGAAGGTGAGCGTTCTCAGGAGACTGTTTGATCACCTGCATTCAAGGTATTTCAAATGATGCAGATAAATGTCCGTCAAGAGAATACTGCTCATCCTATTCCGTCATTACACTCTTGTCCTTGGCCTGTTTCTATTTCACTCCCCTGGCTGCAATATGCAATTGTTCCTTGAGATTTGGGCCTAGTCGAACTCACCGCAACTCATCATGCTGCATTCATTTCCTTCGAGTGGCATTATTTTATGCAAGAAGAGAAATATGCAAGACAAGGGTCTAAATTGCATCGCTGGGACCCCGATCTCCTTCCGATCCCCGACCGACTTCATGACGACGGTTGCCTGAAAGAAAAATGAGAGAAAAAGGAAAGAAGACCCGGGACTTTAATTGAAAGCGACACGACATCACGTGCTAGCGCTTTCTCTTCGCGTCGCGCCCCTGCCATTTCCCCTGTCGCCCCGCGATCGCGCGCCCTTTGGCAGCTGAAGCCCGCTCGTTCCTGCTTCCTATTTTCCCCTTGCCACCACACCCTCACGCAATTATCTCAGGAACCTCACTATTTTTACACTGGAAGGAAACCTCACCTCAAATTACACAGCATTACATCGCCACCTTCCTTTTCTAGCATCTTTTTCTGCCTCAATCTCAATATTTCGATCTTTTTGAGCCTTGGAGGCACAGACCTTCACTGCCAAATTTAGCGTCTCCCCTTCCATCATCGATTTGGATCACTTTTTTCTCTCCCGAATTCCATCACCACTGACGGAGTATTCCCACTCACTCACAAAGTCGAGGACGAAATTGAGGCCCCTGAGGAGTTATCAACTTCTAGAAAAATCACGACCTCATAATTTTGCTACTATCTCCCGGATCTGGTGGTCTGAGCTGCGATCGATATGAGCTCATCAACGTCGGACGTGGAGTCCGTCATGTCCGCTAACCAGCGCTTTGACACCAGTGCACCTTCCTCACCACCTCGGGATGAGAGTGTTGAGCCCATGGATTCTGAGTTCGCTCTAATCATGAAGGAAGAGGCAAGGGCCAAAGCAGACAACAACAAGAAAGACAAAGCAGCACAAAAGTCCCAGAATCTCAAGAACCGCAGGAAGCGCAAGAATGAGCTCTCTAAAGAGGAGAAGCTCAAGTTGGCCAAGGAGCTGGATGAGCTTCTCAAGAAGTCTCAGGCGTTCAGCAAGATGCTCATGGAAAAGACTCAAGCAATGGGTCGGGTTGGCACAAGCTTGGAGGGCGAAGCCTTGGGTGACCACAGCCTGTCCCTCACTGCTCAACCCAAAATCATGAAGGGTGGCACCATGAGAGATTACCAGTTGGAAGGACTTACTTGGATGCGGGAAGTGTGCCTTCAGGGCTTATCTGGTATTCTCGCTGATGAGATGGGTCTTGGTAAGTCTTTCTGCCTCATCATTTGCACAACTTACACTCTTCTTCCTTTCATGTACGAGAATACTTCAGAGAGTCGAATACTAACCATGTTCAGGCAAGACGGTTCAGACCATCTCGTTGATTGCCAATTTGAGAGAGGAAAACTACCTTGGCCCTCATCTCATCGTTGCACCTTTGAGTACCCTTTCGAACTGGATGGACGAGTTTGAGAAGTGGTGTCCTTCCCTTCCTGTCGTTCTCTTTCATGGAGACGCTCAGAAGCGCGCCGAAATCAAGAGGAAACACTTGACGCCAAATATGAAGAACGGCAACCCCACCAAGAAGTTCCCTGTGGTGTGCACATCTTACGAGATGGTCCTAAGAGAAAGGGCTACTTTGAGCAAGTTCAATTGGGCTTTCATCATCATTGTAAGTATTATTGCCTGACACCCTGGTTATCAAACCTGCTTGCTCACATTCCTTAGGACGAAGGCCACCGCATGAAGAACTTCGAGTCTAAGCTGTTTCAAGAGCTGGAGACTTTCGCATCCGCTACTCGTATGCTCATCACGGGAACACCCCTGCAGAACAATTTGAAAGAGCTTTGGGCTCTTCTTCACTTCTTACTGCCTATGATCTTCAAGAGCTACGAGGCTTTTGAGGCATGGTTTGACTTTGACGACCTCCAGGACGAAGAGGGCGCGCAGGAGTTCATTGCCGATCGCGAGAATCAGGAGCTGATCAAGAAGATTCACGTCATTCTTCAACCACTCCTTCTTCGTCGCGTCAAGGCGGATGTTGCCGCGCATCTTCCCAAGAAGCGCGAATACGTCCTCTTTGCGCCAATGACAAAAGAGCAAACCGATATGTACAATGCCATCAACGACAAGGATGTCGATACTCGCGCCTTCTTGGAGAAGATGGTCATCGACCGTCTCAGTGCCATCGCTCCTCCTGTCAAGAAGGAAAAAATCTCTGCCAAGCAGCTCGAGATTCCGATCCGAAGCAGTCCTCGAAAGACTAAGGGTGAGGCAGCTCCGGAGACTAAGAAACCCAATGCGTTCTCGGCAATGATGAACCGGGCTAGAAGCTCATCTTCCAAGCCCCAAGAAGCCACCAAAGCAACATCAAAAGCCTCATCGAAGGCATCCTCCCGGGCTGGCTCCAAGCGCAAGGAAGCACCCACTCTCGAAACACCACAGTCCAAGAGTGCCAAGTCATCGAGACAGTCGACACCTTCGACCACTACACGAGGCCGGGTCACCCGTGGCCGTCGACGCTATGTTGATTCCGATCCTGACGACGAGGATAAGCTCTCCGATGATGAGTTCGAGGCCAAGCTTGCTCGAGAGGCAGAGGAGGCCGACCAGAATGACGATGATTCTGCCCCCGCTCTTTCCCCTGAGGAACAACACCAGGTCAACATTCTCGAGCAGGCGAAGAAGGAGATGTCAACCAAGAAGCTTGGAAACCCCATCATGCAGCTTCGCCTTGTGTGCAACTCTCCGCACAACTTCTTCGATCCTTGGGGATACGAGGGTAGTCCTCCCGTTGACGAGAGCATTGTCACATCATCCGGCAAGATGTTGATGCTTGATCGTCTGCTTCCTGCCTTATTCAGCAAGGGTCACAAGGTCTTGATCTTCTCCCAGTTCAAGACTCAACTTGATATCCTTCAAGACTACTGCGAGCTTCGGAAGTGGAAGGCCTGCCGATTGGACGGATCTGTCTCTCAGGAAAGTCGCCGCGACCAGATCAAGGAGTTCAACGAGAACCCCGAGTTCAAGATTTTCCTGCTTTCCACGCGCGCCGGTGGCCAGGGCATCAACCTAGCGAGTGCCGATACTGTGATTCTCTTCGATAGTGACTGGAACCCGCAGCAGGATCTCCAGGCGCAGGACCGCTGCCACCGAATCGGCCAGACTCGCCCCGTCATTGTCTACCGTCTCGCCACCAAGGGCACCGTTGAGGAGGAGCTTCTCATGAGCGCTGACGCCAAGCGTCGTCTCGAGAAGTTGATCATCAAGAAGGGATCCTTTAAGACGATGGGCCAGAAGATTGACCTGAAGGAAGACCTTGACGGCGAGACGCTCAAGTCTCTGCTGCTGAAGGATGGTCAGATTTTCAAGTACTCCGGTGACCACGAGGTCCTCAGTGACAAGGACCTCGATGTTCTATGCAACAGGTAAGTTTATCAGTGGCCTTCATCGAGATTTGAATATTTCTAACATGTTCTGCAGAAGCGACGAGGCCTACTCCAAGGCGGCCGAGGGCACCGCGAACGCCGACGGCTACAAGGTCATCGAGACTAGCTCCGACGGCATCACCATTGCCGGGCAATCGGCCGCTTAATGTTGTGCAGGCTACCATATCCCCTGTTTCGAACTTATACCGGCAAGATGGAGACTCAAGACGGAGACTCACCTGGCATGGCGTGTCCATTGCTGCCATACGCTTATGTCGATTGAACCCAACACCGCGGGGAATAGCATGATCCTGTGAAGGATTGTACAAAGAAGCTTCAGTAGATGATGCTGGATGATGGTAGCGAGAGACGAGGATGTTATTTACAAAGGCCAAAAGTAGGCCACGGATCAATTTTTTTTGCTAGAATAGACGGCCATCCTTACATATCATGTATTCTGGACCGGATTTGCCTATTCTCTGGATGGCCACCGGGTCCCCCATTCTTGTACTTTTAGCGTTTGATACCCCAGGATTGGTCAGACGATTTGCTTAAGAGCTCGAAATAACACTAGTATTTTGTTCATTCTTCTGGGATCTATGGCCTCGCGAAATGTTTGCACACCAGAAGCTACGAATGAAACGAGAAGCGCGAAAGAAGACAACGTTGCATAGTGTGAACAACGCTGCGGGCATACTCAGACTCTCACAAGTTCATATCCTCCCAAATAGTCTGCCTCACCACGAGGCCCTCAATCCAACGACCCACTTCGAAAATGAAGTCTCCGATATGCAACAGCACCTCCGCAGTGATGTGGACGACAAGACGCTGCAAGCACGGACGGAACGTGTCAACGATCATGGTGGAGAGCATACAGACCAAACTAGTACAAGCAAAGCCGGCGACCAGCTGAAGGAAGAACCACTCAGTGCGGAACAATTTGCGGTCGATCGCAGCCGCAGTCTCATCGGGGAGCTCCTCGAGCCAAACGTGTAGAGCAAGGAGGAATTTCTGGGTTGATTCACAGGGGTGTTGGGGCATGTAATCCGAGACCGTCCATACGAGCCACGACGTCTTTGCGACAATCCACCGGAGGATGAGGAAGACAAGGTGGACGACGAGATGAACAGCCAGGCTCAGCAGCAGCGGCGCATGCAGCATGCCCACGACGAAGCCGTAGAGATGGGCGAGGTTGTCGAGGTACCTATTGTCAGCGAAAAGTACCCAGCATACGATGATAGGGCCGAAGAGATTGGGGAGGAAGAAGAGGCTGTGGAGGTAACCCTCGACGAGCCAGCGGTTAAAGATACCTATCTGCGAGAAGACCTGTTCGTTCTTCTTGATGTTTTGGAAATTGGTCTTGAGGGGCGTCATTACGATGACGACGTTGAGAATGAGGGTGAGGTAGATTGAGGCTGCGGCGAAGATGTGGTATGCGATGGAGATGTCTGCACGGTAGAAGACCTTTTCGAGGGGGGTGACGAAGAGGGTGAAGATTGCGGCGAGGAGGGTCGGGGGCCACATTGTGCGGATGGCTAGATAGAAGGGGCTTGTTGAGGCTGTCATGGTTATCTTACCTGACGTCTCACTGAGAGATTATGGGTTGATTGGATGTGCCAGATGGTTTTGAATGTGGTATAGAGTCTGGTATTTGCGTACAGATGTGACGAGGTCGTTGGAGAGAGCAAGCTGCAGGGATGTGTGCCGTTCGAATTGCAGATCGACCCGTGTTTATGAAGCGTCACTCGACAAAGCATCTAGCTAATAGAGTTATTCTTGAATCTCTTTGGTGTTCGACCATGGTATCAGCGCCAGCTGAACAAAGCATCACGATCCAGGTTTTCTGGGGTGGCCGCTTTTCTGCCCTCCATCAAAGGATGATTGTGTGCCTTACAATAGTCTGAAGGGCAACCCAGACTTCGGCAGCGCGTGAACAAAGCCTCATTCGGAGAATCTCTGTCGGAAGATACCCACCAACGGCTACCTATCGACTCAATTGACGAGAAAGTTGGTCGAGGGAGATGTCACCGGAGTTATGAGAACGGAGCGGCCGAAGCGGCCGCACCACCAAACTTGCTACTTCAAGGTCTACTTGAGCCGCTGATTCGTTGACTAGTCTCAGTACGTTCAAATCTAATTTGATGCCGAGGCAGTATCTAATTTGATGCCGAGGCAGTTGAAGGTTGCGCTTGACTAAGGACGAGTCGCCGCCTTTGACACGGAGTCCTGGACGGAGTCCTTGTACATGCGGTTGTGCGATCGAGTTCTGTGCATGATGCCAGCAACCAGATCATGTCTCCGGAATTTAGCTCACAACCTCAGGGATCGTGCAGCTACGGATCTGGGGGTTATTGCCTCGACGCCAAGGACGAGTACTCAAGCGAGCAATCGTCGCGAGAGAGCCATGGACTATATAGACGACCTTCACTCTCGACGGTGAAGAGGTCTTGTTCTGAAGTAAAGATCAAGTACCATGCAAACTCGACAATCCTACCAGCAAAATAGCTTCGCCGAGGATCTCAAAATGGCACCTCCAGCAATCCTCCCCACTCGCCGCCTTGGCAAGACCGGCCCTGAGATCACCGCCCTCGGCGTAGGACTAATGGGCCTCAGCGTGGCCTACGGCAAGCCTGGGTTCGTGACCTTTGATCAGCCAGCTGTTACAGAGAGGCATCTCGGACTAACTCCAATACTTCCACAGATCCGACGAAGAGCGTCTCGCATTCCTCGATCGTGCCTGGGAGCTCGGCGCCACGGACTGGGACACGGCCGACGCCTACGGCGACAACGAAGACCTCATTGGCAAGTGGTTCGCGCTGCACCCCGAGCGCCGCGCCGGTATCTTCCTGGCGACCAAGTTTGGCGTGCGCGGGGAGATCAGGAACGACGGGACCTTTAGCATCAGGATTGATAGCTCGCCCGAGTACTGCCGCGAGGCGTGCGAGCGCAGCTTGAAGAGATTGGGCATCGGGAGTATTGACTTGTACTATATACACCGCCTGGATGAGACCACGCCCATCGAGAAGACGGTTGAGGAGATGGTTAAGCTGAAGAAGCGAGTGTGAGATTGGACAGTAACTAAACGTCATGTCCCAGCAGCTCCAGATTGCTGACAACTTACGCGAAGCGACGGCAAGGTGAAGGCCTTTGGCATCTCTGAGTGCTCTTCAACCACCCTCCGCCGCGCCTACGCCATCCACCCCATCTCAGCCGTGCAGGTAGAATACAACCCATGGTCCCTCGAGATCGAAGGCCCCGCCGGCACAGACCTCCTCAAGACATGCCGCGAACTCGGCGTCACGACCTTTGCCTACTCGCCGCTCGGCCGCGGCATCATGACGGGCCGTTACAAGTCGGCGGACGACTTTGAGGAGGGCGACTTCCGCCGCCAGCTGCCGCGGTACACGGGCGACAATTTCAAAAAGAACACGCAGCTCGTGGAGGAGTTTGCCGCCGTCGGGCGCGAGAAGCACGGCTGTTCTGCGGGGCAGCTTACGCTTGCTTGGCTGCTTGCGCAGGGCGAGGATGTGGTGCCGATCCCGGGGACGAAGAAGATCCAGTACTTGGAGGAGAATATGGAGGCTTTGAAGGTTGTGTTGGGCAAGGAGGAGGAAAGAGAGTTAAGGGCTTTGGTTGATGCTGCGGATGTGCAGGGTGATCGAGGTGCGGCGTTTGGCAACTATTCTGATTCGCCTGCTCTCTGAGGAATGAGGATGTCCCGGTGCCTTCGATGGAGGTGATGACGGAAGCGAAAGGTGATGATGGGGGCGGGGATGTCTCGGGAGTCGGCGTGGGTCCCCGGCCCCAGCGTCCGAGGCCCCGAAATCTGGGGAAGAGGGTTAAGGTCGGTGATCAATAGTGAAATAAAGCAATCTTTCTCGCAACCTCGTATAGCTAGATTGTAGCATATAGCATATGGCCGAATGGTTATGTTGAAACTCTCTCATATCATGAATGCTGCCAATATGCGAATGCAGATTCTGTGAGTTCCCCTCGGAGAAGAAGGCCGATGCCGGCTTGCGTTCGGAGATCGGAGTGGGTCGCCGACACGCCGGTTGATAAGTGAATTGGTCGGCTTATGCGCGCTTGGGCCTGTCAATTAGCTGTTGTAGATGTTAGTCTTATCAGTTCGAGAATACAACTTCAGCGGATCGTTGTTCATGAGACTGCTACTAAACCTTACCAAACGAACTCTTGATATCGCACTTCGAGTGAAACTCAAATCTTCCGCAGCCCGCTTGAAGCAGTCCACAGCTTCATAACACCAACCAACCATGGCTACTATCTACAAGACGGGCGAGGATGCTCGACTAGCGTGCCGCTCCGGTACCTTCGCCTCAACCACGGCCGGTCAAGCCCCGACGTATCTCCAAGCGAACCTCATCGTTCTTCCACGACGCTACGCCGATGACTTCCGTCTTCTCTGCCACCGCAACCCAGTACCTTGCCCGCTCCTCGCAGAGTCATCAAGTCCAGGAGACTTCGATAAGCTCAAGTCCTATGTCAGATCACCAGACGGCGAGAAGATCCTACCCGTGGCCACAAACATTGACCTGCGCCACGACTCGCCACGATACCGTGTCTATGAGGATAGCAAGCACGTCCCAGTCAACGGCGTTTGGGAACCAGTAAACGTGGAAGACAAGTGGCTTAATGGTGACCACGTAGGATTCTTGATCGGATGCTCCTTCAGCTTCGAGAGGGCTCTCAACGAGTCTGGACTCACGCCGCGACACATGACGCATGACCGCAACGTGCCCATGTATCGTACCAACATACCACTCTGCGCAGCCGGTGTCTTCAAGGGGGCGACGTATGTAGTCTCCATGAGGCCGTACAAGGTGTCGGAGATTGAGAAAGTGAGAGATATCACCAGGCCTTTTGTGGCGACACATGGGGAGCCGATCGCGTGGGGATGGGATGGGGCGGAGAGGATTGGGGTAACGGATATTACAAAGCCTCACTGGGGCGATCCAGCGCTGCAGATGGACGGGAAAACTGTGTTCGGGCATGACGATGAGGAGTATGTGCCCGTCTTCTGGGGGTGCGGGGTCACGCCGCAAGAGGCTGTGATGAGAGCCGATATCAAGGGCACGGTAATGGGGCATGCGCCTGGGCATATGGTCATCATGGATGTAAGAGAAGATGAAATCTTCCCCGTCTCATAGCGATGAGGATGTACCAGCATTGGATCTTGAGTCTTCTAGAGAACCCTTCATGTTGAGACTCGAATCGGTTATTCACTCTGGATGAATCGGTGTTGAAGACATGATCAAGAATCTACACCATCAATTCCAATTCATAAGGCCGGGCTGTGGAGTCGACTTGGACCAATTGACTCGGGCGAGATCGATCCTCTCTCATCTCATGACGCGTCAGAGACTCGCAGGCAACCAGGTCAATTGAGTTGAATTCACCAGAGAGATCCAGACAACCAATACATCTGCGCGAACATCTGTTGTTCTCATTGTCATATGGTGAAAGACCTTTGATTTCGTGTATCTTTTGCTTAGCAACAATGCCGTCCAAGTCCAGACAAACGCATGAAAGACACAAGACTCAAAGAACCTTGTGAGCAAGACAAGACAGGTCACCTGTCAAAGACTCAGAAAACATGAAAGCCGAAAGAATTGAAGTAACAGCACAATGGCCGACAAGACTGACCGAGAGCCTTGACTTTGGTATATGTATGACTTCGGTATTCTAGAGAAGATGCCGTATATTCGACTCACAAGAACCCATCACCAGCACATTCCATCCACCTAAATCAAACAACTCACCCAGACCTCGTTGCATCTTCAACCAAGTTTCCAATCAAATTTCCAACACCAGTTTTAACCTCCAATTGAATTCAATAGAATCTTCCTCCCCTTTCGCGTACAATCTCCATCCATTACTTACGCTTCGGCGCTGACGTACATTAGCACCCAACAAGATGCCCCCCAAGAAAGGCAAAGGCACCGCCCCTCCGAAGTCCTGGGTTCCCCCTGCAGGATATACTCCTCGACAGACTCGTGGACAGACTCGGAATCAACAACAGCAGCCCAGCCTCTGGCAAGGACTCACCGATAGAGGAGAGGCGTACGATGCTCAAGGCAACCATGTTTTAGTGCGCCCGGTGCGCCAGCGTCGAGGGGGACAGCAGACGGCAGCGCCTCCTGCTGCACCAACTGGTCCGCCGCCTCCGCCGCCTCCTCCTGGACCACCTGCTCCGCCGCCGCCGCCGCCGCCCCCTCCCATTGCTCCTGTCCTGCCACCAGTGCCTTCTCCCCATGATGCTGACTCTGGAGATGAATCTGATGACGGGGCCGGTGGTGAGCCTGGGACCAAACCTGATGATGGATCTGGCGGTGAATCTGGCGATGAACCTAACAACGAATCTGGTGAAGAACCTGAGGTTGAGTCAGGTGATGAATCTGAAGAAGAATCTCAGGCTGGATCTGGCGATGAATCTGGCGATGAACCTGAAGCGGGATCAGGCGATGAATCTGTCGAGGAACCTGAGACGGAATCAGATAATGAATCTGGTGATGATACTGCAGGTCCGTCATCGGATCCCACGCCGCCAAAACGTCCTACGAGAACGCCCCTTCCGAATGGAAGACCAACAAAAATCAAGATCAATATAAAAGCAACAAAACCACAGACGTCACCAGTTACAGAGAGTCAAGACAGCAATGGTTCGGACTCTCCCGTTGCTCCATCTGCAGACGAATCCGACAGCGATCCCGAAGCGCCTGAAGAGAGCTCCGAGCGTGAAGAGCCTGAAGAGTCTGAAGATGACGCCAGCCGTGACGACAATGAGGAGCAGACCGACAACTCTCAAAGAAGTGAAGGCAGTGACCCAGAGGGTCCACAGGATAGCGACCAAGGCACACCAGACGAAGCCACGCGGTCGAGAAGATCAACTCCCGGGTCGGTCGGAGGAGACTCTGAGCAAATGTCCACCCCCTCAAAGACACCTCAAGAGAGAAAGGGGTCGAAGAACGAGGACCCGATTCAAGTAGGTAGCGAAGAATCGGAGAGTAGCGAGGTTCCCCGTGAGCCACGGAGCGAAGACTCTCAACAAGACGATGAACCGCATCAACCCACTATCGTCCACTATGGCAGCGATGATGAAACAGAAATGTTAGTTCATGAGAGGCCTGACTCAGACCAGACCTTCAACAATGGAGATGATACTCTCAACTTGGAGGACTATCCAAGCTCGGTTGGCGGAGATCCCGACTGGAGAGGAGAGTATGATGGAAGCGAGGATGACGGCGACGACCGTTATGATACCCGAAGTGGCAGCGTCGGAGGTGACTATGAGAACAATGAGGATGACGACGATGATACTGAGGACCACTTCCCCGACTACACGATGTTCGACCCCGATGAAACCGAGGGTCAGTCTGAAATGGGCCGCGGACGAGGCAGCGAGTCAGATCTTTCGAGGCAGTCCTCGCCGGGCGGTGTCTCACCGGTCTTCCCTCGAAACGATCGTTCGCCCAGTCACTCTCCGGGCCCATCTGCCGGGGGGCAGCAGCAGCCATCAGGCTCGAGTGGCGGGCAAGGCTCTACAGCTCAGGGAAGAAAGAACGGACAGTCCAGTGGCAACAACAAGGGCTCAGCAACGGGAGGCGGACATGGCTCTGCGGCAACGAAGACGAAGAATGCCACTGGGAAGAGAGGAAGACCTGAAGATCACACCGCAGACGATGAAGCCAGGCCACAGAAGCGACAAAGGGAGGACATGGGCACGGCTGCGGTGCCGACAGTGAGAAAAAAGTTCCCTCGGGCCCAATATCGCCAGATATGCCCTTACCCAAGCCCCCGGGAGTCACAACCTAAGACTTCAGATAAGCGGGCAACAGCCAAGAGGCCAAGCAGCTTGCTTGACGACATAGTAGAGAAGCCTGCGAAGAAGACGAGACTGTTATAAGGGGAACGTGAAGGAGATTTAGACATGCAATAAGATGTTTGATTGGTATGATCTTTAGAGCCGTAGATTTTGTTCGAATTGACATTGCCCTACTGAAGCATTACTGAGCTAGCAAGAATTTGGATCATGCACGCGTACCTTACCACCTGGTGATTCCTCCTCTATCAAGAGTGCTTGCCGGGCTCGTGGACGGGTGTCCTTTGAGGGGCTGATGACAGGATCAGGAGCGGATTTCTTGAGGCACTAGGGTAATCAGCATAGCTTGGACCAAAATGATTTCTCCCCATGTCCAGTTCGTATGATGGACGTGGTAGAAGCAATCCGCGCACGCGCGCAACTTTTCTTTGTTGTATTGGCGTTGGAAACGCTGGGTATCATAGCATATCTTCGTCTTCGTCATAATCGCCGTCCCCACTGCCTCGTTCCTCCTCTTCCTCACGCCTACTGGCTTCCGCACTGGCGCCAATCTTCCGCACGCCCTCTATGACGCCCAGGAAGAAGCCGCGGCTCTCAGCCAGCTCCATCGCTCCAACTCCCCGTAAACTCATGACACCGCCTACACCGTCGGACAGGTCCTGTGTACTCTTGCGCATCTTGGCAGATCGCACCTCCTGAAGGTCCTTGAGAAGAGACCTTACCTCGGAAGTTGATGGTATATCGTCGGATGCGTGTGCCAGCAGGACCTCGGCGAGCTCGAACCAGTGGTAGGGGAGCGCATTCGGGGGCGCGTCGGCTGTACATGAGGGCAGGAACGGTGGTGACAGGGTTTCGTCGAGGGTC